TCCATCTATCTGCGAGTTCACGGTCCGATAAGTAGCCAATGAAATAAATTATTCGGCGGATACTCGAAGTCGCGCGACAAGAACGACGAAGCACGCCGCGCGATCGCCGATACGCGAAATATATTGTAATTTGCACGCGCGTAATTCTCCCCCTCCCTTCCTCACCCGACTATCGGAGACAGTTAATTGTAATCTTTGGCACATAAACGCCCGGCTCCGTGCCGCGATTCATAATTACTCGGCTTTTACATCGCGCTGGAATTCATATCGCCTGACCTACGTGCCGAGGAAAACTTGCCTTATCGTCCCTCCTCGTATATCGACATCTATATTTTATTCCGGCCCGGTTATTCAAAGTTCTACATTTAACTCGGCGCGCTACGAAACTGCGAGTCTCGCGCGGGTCTCGGACGAGTAACGATTTTCAATAGAGAGGGCTGCAAATACCCTTATATGTGTCGCCGTTGTGGACAGCAGAACTCGATGAATGTGCAGAAAACGCGGTATTGTCGAACGCTCAACGGCCTCGGCCGTTCTCCCTCATCGCGTTCTCCATCGACGATGCTAAATAGAATGGTCTTAGGCGAAACGAAGGCCTGGACGGTCAAGCAACCAGCGAACTTGGAGAGCGGACCAGAAACTTTTCCTACGGAAGCTAAATGGAGGAAGTTATTATTTGGCAGGAATGTCTCGCTTCTCGCGTATATATCGTGTTGTGCTCGGGATAACGAAAGCGTCGACTTGCGTTTCGACGACGCAACAACAGCGTCGACGGCTCGCCCATCTGTGGCATTCTAATGCGCCGTCTTTCGGAACTCGATTCACTGAATTGTGTTATTCAAATTCGCAGTCCTCGACGCTGTTCCCCCGAATGTCTCGCGAAAACGCGCGTCGGAGAAAAGGAGAGATCCGCTAAATTACAACCGATCTCGATGGTTGGCGAGAGCGAGCAGACTCGACGACTGCTCGCATTTTTATCGTTATCGACGATCGCATTAAGGCAACGGAAGATTCGAAGGGCGCCGTAGGAGGAATTAACGCCGGTAGATCGTACGACGAAACTGATGCGCGCGGAATATAATGACATCTTGCAAATTGAGGCGCAGATGTGCGAGAACGAGAGAGATTTAAGGCCTTCGAATTGGCAGAGAGAAAGAGAGAGAGAGAGAAAGAGAGCAATGTGTCATTTGTGCGAAAGTAATGCGTGCGTCCCGGTAAGGCACATGTGCCGGAGAAAGCGAACCGCGAATACGTATGTGGACACCGCGAACGTTTCATTTTCTCGGGATTAAGTAACCGCCACGGCCGTTACATGCATGCGCTCGCCGCTATTAACGATTTAATTAGCGTAAGTTTTCATCTCTAGGATTACGAAGGAGGTGGTGGTGCGCGGATGATACGACTAGGGGAGGTGGAGGAGGGAAGGAAGAGCAAATGGTCAGTGGCGAGAATGGAGGAGGGGTGGGAAGGAAGGAAAGCGCGTACTCGTTTTTCAACAGAGTAGCCGGCTTATTATTGCGTTTTCGCAGGATTACACACCGGACTCGCGGCAATTTGCCGGTCGCGTGTAACGTAACGAGTCGAGAAGTGTGTCATTAATTAAGCAGCGCGCTGTTCGAGAATTCTGAAAGAAACTTTGGGCCGCGGGCTGCAATAGCGTGAAATATAGCGTTGAAGATGGACAAACAGAAAATGTCGTAATTTAATCCCGGCCAAAGTTTTTCTCGGATGGAATATTTGCGCGCCGGAACGTTGCCTCTCGTTTCTACTCGGGAACTGTAATTGGCGTTAATCTCCTTCCCACGTCGGAGTAATGAGCCAGGTTGTTTATACGTGTACTCTTTCGCTCGAACTTTGTTGCACTTTTCTCCAACGAACGTTTATGGGAGCTGTTCAATCGGCAGTTTCCGCGACTCCGGCATCGGGGTGCAGTGCTTCTCATTCCGCTAAGTCATCGCCTTGTTTTGATTTAAGTAGAACTGCTTCCAGTAAGAATGTCACGTCTGGCAGATCCAAATAGACGTGTTCGCGACACCAAACTCGAGTGGATTGGCCGACAGCTAGAGAGACAAGGACAAGGGTAGAAGCGAGAGAAAAAGGGGGGCAAGGGAGGGGGAGACGAGGGGGACCTCGCGCGTTCCGTGTGCTCTCTTCTCAAACTATTTATTCCGGCACAAATCGCATTACCAACTTGAACTGCAAAATTGACTTCGTCCAACTTTTACGGCGCCTCCGCCCTTACGCCCCTTCGACGCCACCCGCACGGTCAGAACTTCGACTTGTACGAGGGTTTACCAAACTCAGTTTAAGAAGAAGAAGAACTGTTTCAGCTATAGAGGGAGAGAGACGTATCTTGCGAGGGACTTTCTCTCCCCCTTCGTCGATATAAAATCGCGCGACGCGAGCTTCCGGCAGAATGGCAGTTTGAAAGTTCGGGCCGTCAGGAATAAGGAACGCTATCGTAATCGTACCTCATCGTATGTTATACTTCTCTCATCAATTCAGGCTTAACCCACGAACCTAAATCTTTACATCGGCTCCTTCGCCCCCGACATTAATTCCTCTTTGCCTACAAATCGTTCTTTTTACCCGCGTCCTAAATATTCGTTCCGCACGAAATTCATTAACGAGTTTCTCACGCGCGATACATTTTTCCTCAAATTCTACTACGTTCAGTGTACAACCTTAATGACGTCCATGCCCCCATTCCTCGGGTAGAGAGCTAGAGCGCTACCAGCGATGAAAAACACTCGTTACGTTGTTTATGAGCCCGCGCTGTTCAATCCACCGTCTATCTGCCGTAGTCGATCTAATTAACCAGATAGATTTGCTCGACTGCAGCGCAAATAACGCGCGTGTCTCTCTCATTTCTCCCCCCGTCTTCTTCTCTTCTCTCTCAAGCAACCTCATTCGATTTTAAGCGCACGAATTTCACGAATAGTCGCGCCTCGAGCGACGCTCGTCCAATTGGAAATCCGGCAGATGTATTTTGCGGTGACGGCACCGCAATTCGTCGGTATCATCGTCGCGGGAACGCGCACAGCTGTGATTAATCAAAACGATAAACTATTCCTTATTAATAAGCCCTAAAGCGGTTCGCGCCCAAAGAGAGTGGGGCTATAACTCTCGACGGAACGGATACCTTCTGGGCTTCGCATTAAAATTGAAATTAGCCACCCATTTGTCTTCCCGTTTGGCTTAATCGTGACTAGCCAGGTGATTTATGGTTTTCACTTCTGCCGGGCAAAGTGTAGTTTCCCTTGCCGGATACGGTGCAACGCGTAATGCAATTCAAACCCGGAAAAAAAGTTTTGGCGGCGAGCGCGATGAAAAGCATGCCGCTTATAGCCATATTGCGTGATCGCGTCATAACAGCTGTTGGAAAATAGTTTTGTTCAACTCGCGCGGAACTCCTTATTACGTTCTAAACGCGCGCGACCGTCTTGTGATATAATGTCATCGCGCGGGGTATCGCCTCGTACCATGATACATCGGCAACCGTTTTATATTTCCACGCCCTCCGTAAACAGTCTACTGCGTTTTAATTGGCATTAACTGCCGTAAACTTAACGGCGCTCGGTCTGCTGCGTATTGATGATGCGAAATTGCAGTTAGCACCCATGCTTTTCTACGGTCGTCATGAATATGCAAGGAGGAGTTCCGAGGTAGCATAACATTGATCGATCGATAATAACCTCCAACAATGACTAATACATCGCGTGTATCGTATATAAATATTCAAGTAGATCGGGATACACATTGAATTCAGTGAATGATTATGTTATGGTAAAATGTAATGCTGCACAAATGCAACGAATGCACAATGCATAATGTGATTAAGAGCGCTGATGCGTCAATTACGAATCTGCGAAGTAAATAACATTTATATATACGAGATGCGAAAGTTTCGCTGTATTGTCTCTCGAAGCACATATAAACTTCGGATATGAAATTTACGGAAAATCTCGTTATATAGATACGCCCGTAATAGCTTTCGCAACGCGTTCGAGGAAATGCAACAAAGGTTCCTGGTTCTATATCAGGTAAACGTGCACTGTTTGCGAATACTTGCTCTAGTTTCCGATCACGTGGCAGTTAATGTGTGCGCTCAACCACATTCCGTATTTCATATTGATGTGCAGAACTTGATACTGATTTGCGTAACAAATCAGTATACAGCAGGTCGTTTAAGTAGATGCGTAACGTATGTATAATAAATTTCATCGTAGTTGTAAATAATATGAATAATCTCAATGCTATTAATATCTTACATCGGAAGTATCAAGGCTAATAGGTGTGTTTACATCTTTTTCATCTTGCTTTTTCATCTTATATCCTTGCGATATAAATTTCCACATTTCTTTTCAAGTAAATCTAATATCGCTGCCATGAGTTATCGAAATATACCTTTTAAATCATATATTTTTAAAGATAAATTTTGTAATACATTTTCATTTTCATCATATATCTATATATATATATATATATATATATATATATATATATATATTTAGGCTCTTATCGCTCGTTTCATAATTATCATGTTGTTAAATACATAGAGCCGTCTTTATCAATTTATATATATATATATATATATATATATGTGTGTGTGTGTGTGTGTGTGTGTGTCTGTGTGTGTAATATTGCATCAGACATACGAAAAAAAATTTAGAGTGTAACTCTTTATATTCCTAAAAACATAAAATTGAAACATTTTCAAATCTTTCAGATATCATATATTTCTATTAATTTTATAAGTTTGTTTCGTATCTCGCATGCATGTGTAAGGAAAGATTCATTTCTTGTAAGAATGCTACATTATTTATGTGATTACGCAAAGAATCAAAGTCTCAAGATTCTTCTTGTCACTTCCTAGTTATTTAACGAAACATGTTACATGGTGTACCGACTGGTATATATTCAGTTCAAGGTAAACTGCACCGCCCGTCACCATAAGTAGCGAAATCGTGACGTGGCAAGGGAGGGGAGGAGAACCGTGCGAACAAGGGGTGGGGGTCTATTATTGTCTATCATTCTCGAACAAGACGATCTACTCTAGAGAATAAGTATGTGTGTTCCACTGTGTAATGTAGTGGTCCCCCGATCGCGCGAATGCAACTGAGGCCTCGAAAGATATGTGAACGGCTAAAAACACGTCGCGAATTAACGGTCAGTCGATCAGTGTCGCGGCCCAGGTCGACAAGCTTTCGGAATCATGGAATTGATTTGGGCACTCGTTCTGTTTCTCGTGCATCCGTCCCAGCCGTCGCACCTCGAAGTGGTTTACCAATGGAAATATCTGGATTGGGTTTGGCCAAATATACTTCTGTCAGGGAAAAACTACACGCTGGGCAATGCCTTCACGCAAGATGTGGATATCGACAGGCAAGGTCGCGTGTTCGTGACGAGTCCGCAATGGTTGGATGGTGTACCAATTAGTTTATCTTTGGTGACTAAGGCGCACGGGCCCGGCGGTCGTTTGCTCGTACCGTATCCCAATTGGACCTGGCACACGCCGTTTAATTGTGAAAGCATTATATCTGTCTACAGAGTGGCGGTAATCTTGCAGCCGATATTTGGCTGGATTTAATCGTAGTAAAAAATGTCTAAATACGAAATGCTTAAATATTCAAAATTTTGTTCATTCGAGATTTTTTTCGCTCTGTAAATTAGGTGTTAAGTTTTATAACAATAAAATTGATGAGACATTGTACATAATCTTTAGATCGACGAATGCAATCGCTTATGGGTGGTCGACACCGGCAGAGTAATGAGTAAAGCAATTTGCCCTACGAAAATATTGATCTTCGATCTTGCCACGGATCAGCTAATCCATAAATACGTGGTGCCGGATGATCAAGTACTGCACGGGAAAGCGGCATTAGTTACGCCAATCGTCGATGTCGGAAAAACGTGTCTCGATACTTATCTCTATGTGGCGGACGTGGATCAAAATGGACTAGTGATTTATGACTTATATTGCGACTATTCCTGGCGAGTAAACAACACGCGTGGTAACGCTTTCGGCCCGGATGAGGATGCTATGAATATTACGATCGCGGGCGAATGGTTTGATTTGACCGACGGTACGCTCGGTATGTCATTGTCACCGTTGGGATATTTTAATCACAGGTATTAATGCTCATTACCATCATTCCGGATAAGACAATTCGTCAATGTTTGATTCGAGGCTTTATCTCCGATCGAAATTTCAATCAATCTGTCGTCGTTTCGGAGATGTACAAGTTTAAATTGTAAATCTATAAATTGTATCTTGTAAAATCCGAAAATCTGCTCTTTGCTTAGCATAACAAGATGTGGAAATCAATTTGACTATTTTTTAGATTAATATAATAATTTTTATTAATTTCTCGTTTGTCAGCGAAAAGAATTTAAAAATTTCCCTTAAAATATCAATCAGGACTTTTTTAATACAGGTATGCTAATTTATAGAATGTCAAGAAAATGCTGTTTGTCACGAATGTTTGTTACTTTCAGATATTTATATTTTAACTCGCTCGCTAGTTACTATCAGAAATACACGGACACGTTTTCATTGACGCGGAGCGAGTTCAGGGAGCCGGTGGTATTTCAATCAAATTACAAGCGCGCGAGCCAAGCGGGCGTGCAGGCAACTTCTCGAAGAGGCGTAATATTTTTCCAATTGGTCCAATTAACTGCCATTGCCTGTTGGGACATCGGGAAACCATTTACTCCGAAGAACGTCGTGATAATAGCACAAGACGAGGAGACTCTGCAGTACGTGAGCGGCATTAAGGTGATCACGAATAGGGCTGGCGAGGAAGAATTGTGGTTCAATACCAACAGGCTTCAGAAGACGATAAACATGAGTCTCAAGCCGACGGAGACAAACTTTCGAATAATTAGAGGCACGGTCGATGATATTATTCGGGGTACAAATTGCGAGCCGTTAGAAGATTACGGCCTTAGAACGCAAATACCAGATCAGACCATTTTTTGGCATCAAATATAACTTGCAATAAGACTATATATCTTTCATTATTTATCCTTTGAAACATTCCTATAGATTTTATCTTCGTATTTACGTATTTATTTGTAACATGTTACACGACGAGAAGCAAAACCGTCGAACGTTGGTGAGACTTGAAAATTTACAAGAAAAACGTCACGTTTATACAGAATTTTTCTGCCGCTCTTCCTTCCATCACGTTTCGCGTCCAGAGACGGATTTGCAGCTAAAAGCGACGGATCGTTTGCGTATCCGCGCACGGTCGAATAGAAGGACGGAGTGGCAGTCGGTCCTGCGACTGACAGCCGGAGCGTGTAGCAATTTAGTTAACCGTTTCATTGCTGCCTTTTGAGATGTAACGATGAGGTCTGTCGGTGACACGAACGCCGCCGCGAATTCCGAATGTTTCGACAGGGTGGCTTGACGCCGTGAGTAAGGGTGGAAGGGTGAGTGTCGTGTTTCGTAGCGGGGGAGGCAGGGAGGAGCGACGAGTTTCTTGCCAGGGCCAAGTTTTACCGAGCTTTTACCGGTGCGCCGCCGATTTCGTCCGGAATAAATGCGCATTCACGGGGAATTGTTCGCGTTACCCCCCCGAGATACCCAATAGGGCGCGCGCAATTCCGGGAAATTCGTGTCACCTACTTCTCTTTCCACGGCGCGATTCGGCGTGTGACTAATGGCGGCATATTCATGGCGCAGCCTCGTCCCTTTTCCGGCGCCCCCGCGACACCATCCGCGATCCTCCCTCTTACGAAGCTCTGGCAGTTAACCTCAGACAACCCCTTCGTCGCGATAATATACGGCTGCCCTTAAATTTTCCTTCCCCTCCGGCGTGCTTGCTTGGCCTATCTCACCACGTGGAGCAAGAGAGCACACGTTCTTCTTTCCGGAATAACTTGGCTAACCCCTGCGATTATTATTGCGAGGTCGAGTCGATTTTTATAGCGATCACGTTGGCACATTTATAATGAGGATATCGTGAGACATATAAAATAAACGTGAGATATTGCGTCTTTAAGCTCCATCCATGCGAAAGCGCACGTGTTCTCTTTGCGACTCGAACGTATCGATCTGTGTTTATTTCTCTGTACCATGTATGAATATCAATCGATTATGCTAAAATAACGTAGCGCATGGGACTCTAGGAGGTGCGCTCTTACAGTAAAGCACATTTTTCGCGAAGCAACGTGGAGCATTTTCTCACGGTCAAAGTCGTTATAACTTAAAGATAGGATGCAGAATTATTTAAAGTAGTTACACATTTCATCGCGAGCGTGTTCGCGGCATAAGAAGGAAATGTCTCGAATCGTTTTTACGAGGGTAGTTTTAAAACGACTTTACGAGAACGAAATAACGGCTCGAAATTTCGAAATAAATTTGCATCACTGTTTTACTGCTTTCGATATACATAACTACTAGCATTTGGCACTGATATTCGCGTGTATACGAGCCTGAGTGACCCAGACAGTGCTTTACGCTCGCCGCCAATGATGTAACATTTCGGAATGCGCCTGTTTTTTTAAGGAAAGGCACGTGTGCTCTGCTTTGGGCGTGCGTTCTCTTTTTATTAATATGAAATTAATACTTGCGAAGTAATTACGCAATATATACCTGATCGATTTTCAAGGAAAAATGATGCAATCTGTATCTTGGTTTTTAAATATCGCATATTATTATATTATTATTATGATAATGCGTTTCTAATATGTAATATGTTCGACATATGTAACGTTGATCGTCGACTTTTAATTATTTTCAAAATTAGACATTCTTTCGAATAATTAATTTATATAAGTATAAGTATTTATATAAGTGTGTGACGAAAAAGTTTAAGTAATTGCGTTATTTCGCCGAGTGCCGATGGTTCGGTGAACGAGCTCTACGCGACATTCGCGAAGCGATGCGTAACGAATGTACGAAACATAAACGAGTGCGTGACGCAACGCGATGTTGGTCTGCAATTCGGCGGAATCATCGCATACTCGGTCGGCCAATGGAACGCTGGGCGAGAATTTCGGGCATCTACCGCGTCTTTATTAAGGCCGGCTCATCTATAATTCACAGGAGCGGCTGACAGTGCCGGACTCACTGGCCGCATAAACACACCGGCGTCTCGCACAGAGGGGAACGCACCGCACCGTGTGTGCCACGCATTGCGGTTGTCAGCCCTAGTCAACGTGTAATTTACTAGCGCATCCCTGCCCTCCTCCCTCGTGCCACGACGCAGATGCAGTCGCCGGTTTCGGTGCAGCGGCTGGACGCGGTGTCGCGGCAGCAGCCAACAGCAGCAGCAGCAACGGCAACAACAACAACAACAAGGTCGGCAACAGTGACCGTCGTTACCGTTCCCGCTGCTATTGCTGCTACTGCGACTAGTTACGATGCAAGTGGATAACGCTGGCGCACCGGCGAGAACCGGCCGCTGACCACTTGGAGCCCAACGACCGCAGGGCGGCTATAAACCAGCGAAGTACACCCTACGTCTACCGAAACGGCCGGAACTTTCGAGCTGTCGCGTCGAGATGATCGTCGGGATTATCTACCGCTCTCGTGCGTAGGCGTTTCTCGCGGAATATCGGGAAACTCTCCGCCTTGTGAATCTTCTCCATCGCTCTCTCGCGCGCCTTTCTAATTTATTTGTATTTCGTATTAAATTCTTCTTATTTTACGTATCGCTGATCATACGCAGTCATTAATATTATATTTTTTTTATGTCTCGTATCTATCACGCTAATACTTTTGGAATTCTTCACGTTTTAACAAGATTTCAAGTGCTATTTTTACTTTAATTATCTCTTATGTCATACAAACATTCTAACAATTTAATAAATATATACATTTCATTTCTTTTTTTTCGATACATTCCGTGCAGCTCTGCTAGCTATGCTATGAAGAAAACCTGTTCTGAGATAAAGCATCATTTAGCTATTTGTCCTGGAGTATACTATTACGCGTATGAGCTATGCTCATTCACTTTCTCTTTCGGAATCTCGTAAGTAGCTCATTTCCTCTTGCCTCACGCACCGTTCGTGTAACACGCTCGGTCGAAATGACATTTGCTCCGAGAACCAGTCTCTTACGTTCGTAACCGTTCGTTATCGTTAGTTCCGCCTGGCGTAGCGCGTTCGCAACGTAAACACACGTATGTAGGCGCGACGTCGTGGGGAGAAAGAGGCTAGAGAGCGCCGAGAGTTTCATGCGAAGGTGCGGCTTTACCTTCTGCCATTCGTTACCTTTGCCACAAATGCACGTGCGTGGCTGTGCGACGTTTACGAGTGCAAATAACGGAACTGGCACGTTCCGTTCTGTTTTTTTCTTCGAGCATTGGCACATCGCGATACGATGTCACGCCTCATTAAATATTACTACGAGAACTAATCATCGTTATCTTTCCATATGATCCGGTCTTTCAGTTCAAGGACGCTTACGTGGATCTTATGTGGAAGTTACTTTCACGACTGGACGCGCTTCTGCTTCGGTCGGAGAGAAGAAAATAGAGTTCGCGTGCAATTAAAATAATTTTCGCCATTTACAAGCGAAAGTGCAACGGACTAGTCAAAGTTCGGAAGAGTTAATTTGTAAAACGGCCCATTCAGTTAAATTACCTCGGATCTTTGTTGTAAAACTTCCTCCCTCTTGAAAATTGCCGGATCATCAAGCGCGTATCACTTGTACATTCACCACCAAAGCGCCGTAATCTCGGCACGATACGGTTTTAGGGCCCCCTTTCCCGACCCCAAGGATTCATGCCCGCGAGTATGAATGCATAAACTAATCCCTACCGTGCTGCTCGCCAATTTTCGTACGTCGATGTATCGTGAGAGGATGGTTGTAGATCGCGGCGGATAATGAATAGCTCGGCTGGAAATATACCGGGTCAGATGCAGGTACCAATGGAAGACAGCCCGATAGCTGCAGCGAGCGCAGCACAGAGCAGGGGAGGAGGTATGGGTGCAATCAGCGCGATGATAACCAGTATTATCGCGTCAACCCATCCCATGCCGTCGATCTCCGCGTCGTAATTCCCGGGGGTTCTATTTGTGACGAGAACAAGCGGCTAGTATGACGGCAATCCAGGGGATGATGTATTCCGTGTTATTTATTTCTAGCGATACCGAAAGCCTAACGATTGGCCGGGATGACAACATAAAAATCAGTTCGGAAAATTCTGGAATGTTTGCGCTTTCAATCAAGCACACGTCCCTCTCGCGTCAATGTTTATTCGCATTTATTTTTCAACCGAATCATTCTCGACGCAGCGTTCTTTTCTAGGAGAAGGTGTCTTAATTTGCAAGTAATTTCCAAGTCAAATCTGCGTCAGTTCTCTCTCTTGCGATTACACCGTGATTACATTCTTACATTTTGCTCTTACGCGCAAGTAAGCTACGTTTGGTTATTTGCTCTTTACTCGCTCGCGTGCATGGAAGATAGAAGCTTCTAGAACTCGCGAGTGAGTTTTCATCGAGAGGAAAACTAAGGAAGACACGACTAACAGCTGGATGGAACTTTCTTCACTGCGTGGCATACAAAGTAAACTTGCTAACGCTGTCCCTCACTCACTAACCCGCTTTTCTCTCGGCGTCTCTATTTCCCTTTCCCCCGCGTCGCGCAATATTTCCGTCCATTTGCATCCACACATACGCCTCACTATGTGCGCGAATTCGTGTTTGCGTTCCTCTATTGCCATCCTATTTATTTCCATACGAATTTTAGAAAACGGGAACAATGATTTTAATAATACCGACGAATACGTGCCACTGTAAAAAGAAATCTTCTCGATTATATGAAATTCAATTTTACCAAAAGAATTGATTTAATATATTAAAAGCCTAGATGTATACGTGTGTAATAAATATTATTCACATTAAATGTATGTGTATTAAATATATATTCTTGTTTTTATTACGATTTTTATTTTTATTCTGTTTTCTTCTCAACGAATACGTTTTATCGTTCGGTGGATTATTATCAGTCAGCTCATGCTGAAGCACGTTGCAACAATATTTAACTTTCATATCACGATAAACAAAGATTTTTATCTTTTGCTTAAATAGTTGGAGATAATCATGATGTTTCACCATCAGCATACTCGAATCTACCTCGCTATTGGATGGTGGAATTTCTCTTGGAATTAAATAAACCTTACGTATCCTTCTTACCGTGATGAGACACGTGCTACGGTTCTCACGAATGAGAGTCTCTTACGTTTCACAGTTTACTCAACATCATTCCTCTCTGTTTTTCGCTTGATTGAATATCGCGAATAATTATTCCTTAATTTACATCAGAAAACGCACTAGTTCCTTAACATGTTCGTATTCAAATTGCATTGCGCAAAGATTGTTAACTTTACTTTACGTCAAGCGACCACTTCTTCCAGCGAGTAAACTGAAAAAGAAACTCTATAGTTGTTTCCTAACAAGAGCCGGATCAAGGATCGGTGTTTTTATCAGTTGCGTGTAAGCGCTACGTATGAAAACTTCCATCCGCTCACGCCCTGTTTCCTGCTACGAAGATGATGGCTAGATGGACGAAAGGGAGCGCGATGGAGGACGCGGAGCGAGGTGGAAGCCGGAGAGGAAGTTGTTGGACCATGTCGACTGCTTCCCAAGCCAGTCGAAGTGGACCTATCGACTCGAAACGAGTGTGCTCGACGTTAAAATCCCGGTCGCTGCTCCCGTTTCTAAGCCTCCCCTCTACTCACCGTCACATCACTCTTTCTCTCTTTCTCTTATTCCGTCAACTTTCTGCCTTTCCTTCGTATGTACAGACGCGCGCGCGCGCTCGTGCTCGTCCGCTCCCTCGTGTTAGTGTAAACGATGCAATGGGGGTAGACACGGTCCAGCAAATCCGAAATCCCCTTTTCCTCGATATAAAGCTTCGTTCCCTTTTTTCGGTTTTGACCCTCCACACGGCGAGACTTCGCGCCGCTTGCTACTCTGTGTGAGCAAAGTATTGGAACCACTGATAAAACCGAGTTGTAACAAACGGAATCGACACTGTCAGGTCAGACTCTCACACGTAAAAACGCGCATCAAGTGTAGAATTTAATTTCAAACTAGTTCTAACTTTAACGTTTGACATCTCGATAATTTTACATGTCTTACAAGAATTGAATTTAATTTTTTCTCGATTTCGATAGTCGAATTTTAAGTCTGATTTTAATGGAGCTTACGTGACTTGTCTCTTCACGAATTTAAATTAGATTTTCTTAAGCACAATCGATACCTTTATATTTCATTAAAATCTGATAATATTCTGTATAAAAGAGAGACTATAAATATATTTATTATAAGATGAAATAATATTTTCTTTCCGATAATTTCGGAAATCATCGCAAATATTTGCTGGGATATGAAATGTCGCGACTGTATCGTATTAATTATCTACAGATATATCATCGTGAGACACATCGCTAATGAATGAGTTATATTTAGACAGCGCTGACAATGAGGAGATAGGGAGGTCATTTCTTCGCAGGGGAGTGACAATATTATTCTGTTTCAGGGTGTGACGGGCGACCGGCTGGCCGGGGGCGCCGCACACCTCCTCCATCTCTTCTTCTTCTTGCCACGACCACAACACACAATGTAACAACAACTACTACTACTACTACCACTACTACTACTACTACTACTACCACTACTAGTGTCGTCTGCGCGAACCACGTTCTCAATGTACTCGATGTGGTACGTCATCATATCCCTACTCGGTGTCTCTCAAGATGTGTCATTAAGTTTTAACGTATCTCACTCTTTTACGTTCTCGTGTCTCACAATTAGTATTTATCTTCTTGATGTTTTGATGGGAGACTCCTGCGAGAGGCCAAGACCTGCCTTCGCCATTAAACGAACGTGGACCCGAGAGTGCTCTGTCTATTGGCAATCGCGTTGAATTTGGTGGAACGTGTTCGAAATGTACGTTTGCGTTATTCAGCAAATTACGCGATTCAAAATTATCCCTTTTAGCGTTGTCTTGACGACGCGCCGTGGCAGAAGCATTCATCGTGCGCACGTACGTATTCACACGTCATTCAACATTGTATACGTTTTGTATATATATATATATATATATATATATATATATTCTACATATACATATATATATATATTTATTTACGTATATATACATATCTATATATATATATATATATATATATATATATATATATATATATGTATATGTACATATTGGTGGATCTTCACTATTCGCTGAATTCCGTTACAATGTGACTTGTGGTTGGTTAAGTTTCGTTGGTTTATCGATGTTCGATGTTGACTGCTATTGTTGGTTGTTAGGTGTTTAGTGGTCATTCTGTGTTGGTGCCACCCCCTACCGACTATTCCTTACTCTCTGTGCTGATGACGAGCACCCTACCCGCACCCTACATTTCCGCAACATGAATTCCTAAACTTGATGTTAGAAGTTACAATATCAAGCTTGCCTGCTGCCATCTTCTCTACAGACGCGAGTGGCCTTCGAATTTATTGATAGATAGGGGATGGTAAGATTTTCAATAAATATCTATTTTCTCAATAAAAGCATGCTGTTAGTAATTATAAGATGGAAAAATATATCATAAATTTGCATGATACAATATAATGCAGTAAAATTTTCAATTTGTGTTAATATCGTTTACGAGATGATGCGTTAAAAGAGAAAGTTTTAAATAAAATATCTTCTCCAAAATCGAGACAAAAGTGGATAAATGTTTCTTTATCATGAAATTTAAACTGATTTAGGAAACAGAGATGTATATCATATCAAACAAGATCTTCAGATATGGAGGAGAAAATCCTTTTAAAAAATCATTTCTTGTCTAACGATGCAAAGCTTAGGAATGATTGGCGTTTGATAAAAAAATAGTACATAATATTATATATTACTTCTCGCGCATGCACATTTCTTCATCTCATCAAACATTTTCTAAATATTGAAGGCCTTGAGCACCGCAGCGACGTTTTATTTTATTCTTTACACGCCAATGCATTTCAATAACAAGTTAGCCTATCTTCTTTAGCCTAGTCATCTGTTAAATAGTAATTTTAGTGCCAGGAATATTTCACGAAATAAACAAATCATCAGCAAGCATGCTGGTGTAACAAGAAAATACATGTAAATGAGTCGATAATTGTATTCGTGTATAAATATCGCACTCTAAATATATTTTACATCTGCAGTGAAATAATTAAGCTGAGAACTCGCTGCACGTTTGGCTCATTTTTTTAATGAGCTTGGAAAACTGTAACAAACACTGTCCGATGGCGGATTTGTGGTTGAAACGTTTGAATTCTTAACAAAGATGTACCGAAAAGCGGGACGTAGCAAAGAGAGACATACTTTTTAAAACAATTACACGAGTAGACAGCATGAAATTGGATGCTTTAACGTGAATGCTAGTCGACATCTCTACGTGACACGTGATGCAATCTTTATAGTAATACCAAAGGTAATATACTAATGATTACAATTATAAATAAAAAGATAACGCGAGATATAAAACCTAAAGTTTCTAAAAATGTTTTGAACACAAGTTGAAAATAAAAAAAATGAGATAAACGATAAAATGCGATATGCGACAAAAATATTTATTGCGTTTCCTCCCCATTTTCTTCGAATTATGCGATCGATCGTAGCAAATTACGTTCCAAACTTCCAATTTCCCTCGGAACTGGCCGCTGGCACTTTATTCTATTTGATAGCGATGGCGAGAGCCGTGGTGAGCAAATGGCTCCTGACAACGACGTATGTGAGAAAGAGACGCAGCTAGCCCGGAAGCATTTATTTGCCGGCGGGAGTTCTTCGTAGTTTTACAATGTGGTCGCGCGACGTTTCCGCAAAGGCAGCTCGATTCCAGACGCGCCCCGATAATATTAAAAAGTAATTGGATTGCGAGCCGAATGATAGTTGTTGCCGATTTGGTCGCGCACCTGTATGACCGAAGGGACAGTGAAATCGGTATCAGAGGGAAAAGGGAGAGGAAGGGAGGGGGAGGAGGGGAAGGGAAACGCGGAAAGGAGGGAGCAGGGATACACGAGCATTCGTAGATCGGAATAATGGACAGTCGTTAAATTTAATTGGCACATAATTATCGGGAATTCAGGCACCAAGCAGATCGCCGCACGCCACCAATCGTCGCAATTCCACTGCTCGGGCTTTAATATCGAGGAAATTCGCAAAGAGGGGGAGAGGAGACACACACACACACACATACACATCCCATTTCGGCGTGGTAGAACAGGCTCGGCGTTTGCGGTTTGTGCCGGCCTAACGAGTCTGGGAATCGACCTGCCCTTCATCCAGGATCGCGCTCTCCAACGGCCGTTTCCTTCCCTTTTATCTCTCTGGTCGCATCAAAACGCTTGCCGCTGCTTTTATTTCTCTCAAAACGTACCAACGCGTCCGCGCGATCCTCTTCGACTTTGAACATTCCCACGACTAGATTGAATCCTCGCAGAATGCAATTTGTCTTGGACGCCTTTCGAGCTGCCACTGCAAGCTCGCCGCTGATGAGAGGCACTTGAATAAAACAATAAAACGTACATGTAAGTGAAATAGCGGTGATGGAAGGACATGCTGCGCACGCGAAATGAACGAAAGAACGAGTCAAGCTAGATAAAAGTCACAAGTTATTCTCAATAACGTGAACAATCGCTTCGAGGAATCATCATCGCGATTTTACTTTGTACGCGTTGGTGGAACCAGGGGAGAGCACTGAACGAGCCGTAATTAAAGGCCGTAAATATACGAGAGATCGCTCGGGCAAATTAATTTACAAATCAATTAGGGGAGTCGCGTTTAGATATCGGTCGATGACATAGAGAGCCGAGAGGCATGTAGTACGCTCGCGCAACACAGAGAGACCGTGCCATGCTGTGGCTCGTAAGAGAGGTAGGATTATACGTTAGCTCGATATACCAATAAATAAGCCCGCCCGATATCATCTTTCATTTCGATAATTATTATTCGACGCAGCGTTAATTAATTAAGGGCTGAGGTCGGCAGGGAGGGAGCCTGCCAGCATCCCCTCCTTCCTCGCTCGTCGGCGTCGCTTCATCCTGCGCGTTTGAAACGGAGGCAGGTAGACGAGCCGCCTCGCACGTGGGGCACAGCCACGATCGCGCCAGGTGATAACTCCTCGAGCTCTCTGGCTAATTACCGGATGAAAGAGCTATCTGGCGACTGTCGTCAAAGCACCGGCGAGAGCACCGGTAAATGCATCCCTCCCGCGTCATTGTGATACTTTACCGCGTTCGCACGGGTTTCGCTCACAGTCGGCCTCCGCCTGCCGCCCTCGTCGCTATATTTCGGGATATCTAATTTTCATTTGGCGTTTTCATCCCCGGCGCCGAGCCCGGCGGTATATATGAATACCGCAAGCAGAGCGAGCGGGCTGCCCGTAGCAAATATTCAACGCGGCAAACGAAATGCTATTCTCCGCCGCCGCTCCGTGTTTAAACGTTAATTACTGTTTCCTTTTCATTTGGCTCGTTAAAAAATGTCGGGGAATTTCGCTCAATCTCATTAAAGAGTTAAGAATTCAAATGACAATAAAGTTAGCTATTTTCGTTTCGAATATTTCTACAGAATTTGACAGACGTGGCTCGTTTAAACGTTAAGCTTGGTTGTTTCGCGAAATTTTACACACGCATTCGAATGCAATTTAAAATGTTTATGTGGAATATTGGAGTAGAAAGATTCGATTTTGTTTCCGACGTGGGATGTACATATGTATTTTCGTGGCGCGTCGGAGCAATTTCCAAAAGTGATGAAATACGTAGAGCGGTACCAATGAGATGAAACATTTGAACGATTCTGAGAAACGGTTCTCTTTGACGTAAATTGTCTGAGACGCTCGGATGAAGCATGCGTGAGTCAAATACCAGGATCACGTAAACCGTGCTATTCGGACGAAAGCCAAGAGAACGAGAGAGATGGAGATAGGAAGAGAGGTCTTGTAATTTATTAATTTAATACTCGACTTTTTGGGTCAGAATCGTATCTGGATGAAAGGCTGCGTTGGCGGTGTTCCCGAGCGATAGGAAAAAAAATATCCCCTTCTTTTTCCTTTTGCCGTTTTGTCATCCCTTCACGCATATCTACACGTAGTGTAGACGCTCGGTGTTCCGTTCAGTGGTGAAAACGACTCGTCGCAAACAAATAAATAAAGACGGCATCCACGGTTAAACGTCTGACGCAGGAGCGCTGCTGAATATTTGATTGTTCTGCAGAGCGTTATGTTGACCGAGTGCCTGGTCATGGGGTCGCTCAGTCGCAGAGGGAACCGCGTTTTCCCCTTAACCCAGTACCAGAAAAGTCCGACGGTGGAGAAAAAGACAGAGAGTTTTATTGCTGTATTGTGGCTGTAGACGTCTTGCGAAGAAGAATTCCGTTTCTCGAGATGTGAACGGAATCCGGCTCTTCTTCCCCTCGTACGAGCGAATATTTCATATTGGAATAAGACGCTCCCACACATACATGCACATAGACATGTACACACATATATGCACACACCTCGTTATTACATTTCGCGCGCTGCGATCTCTTAAATTTCAAGAATCCTGACTCCCACGTCGCATCGCGAATAATTGCGCGTCGTCTCGCTTGATTTCTCGAAATAATGCCGCACATTCGCACGAGAGTGCCTCAAAACGAACGGGACGTTGAGTGGTTGCGCGGTATTGAATCC